CGGGTTGCCCTCGAGCCTGGTGCTGGTCCCCGCCCCCCTGGGCCCCTCTCAGGCGGGCGGCCACCAGTGCTGCGCCAAGGACGCGTCTGCCCAGGAACCTGCGTCCTTACACCCACACGGCTACAGCCAGCAACTGTTCCGCAGGGAGCCGCGCGCCCTCTGTCCCCCTGCTCCAAGGACACCTGCTGCACCGGGGAAGGTGCTTCGGCCCCCTCAGGGCTGCGTCAAACCGCTTGTCTGTGTTTAACCCTCCCCAAGTCGAGAGATTTGTTTCTGTGTGCGCCCAGAACTGCCTCGCAGGCCGAAGCCCAGCCGGGTCCGGAGACAAGACCTCTTTCAGGCCGCGTCCCCAGAGGGGCCCGGTGCAGCGGGTGGTCGTGGAGCGTGCTGACAGGGGCACGCTTCCTTCTGAAGCACCCAGTGGTGTCGCTGCCCGTAATCTGCTGGTGAGGGCACTTGCCCTGTGCATGGGACGCCCGGGTTATAGGGTCTTTGGCCTGAGAGGTTTTGAGCGTGCTCGTGTTAGGCAGTAAGTTAGGTGCGGGCTCTTTCTGCTCCTCTGTTGCAGGGGAAAAAAGTTTGTGGAAATAGGAAGTGAGATAACAAGAAGTATGACTAGCGTAGGGCAGGGGTGCTGAACCCCACATACAGGCCACAGAGGCATATCATCCAGTTTACGGGCTAAGCTTCATTACGAGTGCTAAACTTAATGTTCCATAATTATGGCGCATTGATGAATTTGGTGGCAGGGGAGCAGTGGCAATGCTAATTGCCTCTTCCTTGATGCCAAACTTTCAAACCTGGGGGAACCCCGTGGGCTAGATCATGTGGCCCTGAACGCCAGAGCACACCAGTGTGTGGCCAGATTGGTAAGTGAGCAGTGTGGCCAGACCATGGTGGCACAGAGCTGGATTGGGATGGCACAGGATCCAGCCCATGGACAAACCCCACTGCACTCAATAGTTTGGTAGATGTTAGGGTCAGAAGGGACCTATTAGATCATCAAGTCCGACCCCCTGCCCTGGGAAGAAATGAGTGCTGGGTTCAGATGATCCCAGCCAGGTGTCTGTCCAATCTCCTTTTAAAGACCTCCAAGGAAGGGGACAGCACCACCTCCCTTGGAAGCTTATTCCACATTTTGGCAACCCTCACTGTACAGAATTTATTCCTGATGTCCAATCTGAATTTGTTCTCTTCCAGTTTGTGGCCATTATTTCTAGTTACCCCGACAGGCGCCCTGGTAAACATTGTATCCCCTATTTTTTGCTGCCGCCCCCATGAGTTTGTAGGTTGCCACAAGATCACCTCTCAGCCTCCTCTTGCGGAGCCTGAAAAGGTTCAGGTCTCCCAATCGGTCCACATAGAGTTTTTTCTGTAGGCCTTTAACCAGACGAGTGGCCTTCCTCTGACCCCTCTCCAGGCCATCCACATCCCTCCTGAAGTGCGGCGCCCAAAACTGGATGCAGTACTCCAGCTGCAGTCTGACCAATGCCGCGTAGAGGGAAAGTATCCCCTCCCTGGACCTGCTCGTGATGCAGCTACTTATGCAAGAAAGAGTGCGGTTAGCTTTACTTATTACCTTATCGCACTGGTGACCCATGTTCATTTTGGAGTCCACTACGACTCCGAGATCCCTTTCCTCAATTGGGCTACTTAGAGTGGTCGCTCCCAGGCTGTAGGAGTGTTGACGATTCTTTTTCCCCAGGTGCAACACTTGACACTTATCCTTGTTAAACTGCATCCTATTCTGTTCGGCTCATTTCCCCAGCCTGTCCAAATCAGCCTGGATTCGCTCCCTGCCATCTACTTTGTGTACCTCCCCCCATAGTTTGGTGACATCAGCAAACTTGGACAGGGTGCTTTCTACTCCCTCATCCAAGTCACTAATGAAGATATTGAACAGTACCGGTCCCAGGACAGAGCCTTGGGGGACTCCGCTGCCCACATTTCTCCAGGTAGAAACCGACCTATCCACCACCACTCTCTGGGTACGTCCCATAAGCCAGTTTTCTACCCAGCGGAATGTGTAATAATCTACATTGCAACTGTTTAGTTTATTTATAAGAATTAGGTGTGACACTGTGTCAAAGGCCTTTTTAAAATCTAAGTAAATAACATCTACCTCTATTCCTTCATCCAAGCATTTTGTGACCTGGTCATAAAATTAAACTAGGTTAGGCAGGATCTGCTTGCTATGAACCCGTGCTGATTGCCCCTTAGCATCATTTTACCCGCTGGTCCCCCACAACTGTGATCCTTAACAATTTTCTCAAAGGTCTTGCCAAGGATAGAGGTGAGACTAACCGGCCTATAGTTACTGGTTTGTCCTTCTTGAAAATAGGGACCACGTTGTCCCTTTTCCAATCCTCTGGGACCTGTCCTGGGCACCATGACTGCTTGAACAGTTGTGCCAGTGGCTCCGCTATGACTGCAGATAATTCCCTAAGCAC